AGATAGATAGATAGATAGATAGATAGATAGATAGAAAAGAGGAAAGGAAGGAGAAAAAAAAGAATAAAAGCTACAAAACTGCAGATAATTAAGACCTTCCAAAACACAAAAGGAAAGGGATTGGTTTTGAAATGAAATTACTCTAGGAAGAAACATCATGTCTAAGCCACACAACTATATACAGAAATATTTTTGAGATCTGTTTTACAATCCAGACCATGATATTAACCAGGCATTTAATACTATAATAACAAAATTTCTGTGGCTATAAAATAAGGTATAGTCCTAAATCTGATCTATAGTTACACTGTTCCAACAAGTTTATGGTATTATTTAGGAGCTAATTATTAAGACCTGATTAATATTTGGTAAATAGTTTGAAATACTTGAATAAAAATTTAGAATAACAGTAACATCAAATATTTGGACTAGAAAGACCATGGCTGAATTACCTTAATTTGAAAAGGGAAAAAAACTAAATAAGATTTAGAAGAAATATTTATTACAAACTGCTGATCATCTGTTTCAACAACTCACCTTCAACAAAGGAGTCATCTTCTGTTTTCTGAAGAGTTTTGTCAGTAAAATGTCTATCATTATTTTCAAGTACGTCTGAATATTTGTCTTTATCAGACTGATAGCCTTCTTTCATGCAGTCCAATTTATTGATGGTCTCATTTAATGCTGCAAATACAAAGAGTGTACAAACAACACACGATTCAGTCAATAGACCTAAGTCTTCTAAGGATAACAATAAAACTGATGGCCTCTTTTAGATCCACACTGTCCAATATGGCATTCACAAGCCACAGGTGGCTATTTAAATAACTATAGTAGTCCATTCTCCATTCTGATAGTTTTCTGTACCCTGCTTGAACAGTTTTCTCTACTCCTATAATTTTCTATTTACAAACTCTGATAGTTATAAATAACCCTTTCTTTAGGCTTTAAAGAATTTGTTAAATGTTCAGATTTGGGGTGGGCTCTTCCTGTCAAAAGTACAGCAACATTTCTGTAGTTTTTTCATTAATGAGCTCATCATTTTAATAAAAAGTTCCCCTCAATCTTCACAATAATCTCCAAACCCCAATTCTTATTCCACTATCCTTCCATACACCCTTTGCTCCTGTCAGTTAATTTCACCCCAATTAAAGAATCGCAGTTTCATGTTTAGCACACGTTAGGATTAGAACCCACTTTCCCGTTTAAGAAAAACTGAACATGTATATTGCAAAGTAGTTATAATAAAAAAGAATGCTTGATCTTGGGGGGGGGGAAGCTCTTGTGGCGCCCCTCTCTTTTTGTGAACACAAGAGTTTTTATGTGTGTAGTGTATTTTTCTAAAAAAAAATCTCACAAGATTCATGGAAAGAAATTAATAATAAATTATTTAAAGTTTTATATAAAAGTAACTAATTTAATACATTGTTTTGTTCTATGACATAATCATTAACCATCAGAAGTTTCAAAAACAGGTCAGTGAAAAAGAGTTTAAGGGAAATTTGAGTCTAAAGAAAAGATCAATTTAGTAGGAGGAAAATAGAAGATGAGAGTTCTTTTGATATTTCTGGAAGGGTACTAATAGGAAGAAGAGTCTGAATGTAAAATCTAGCTCCAAGAATGGAATGATAAGGCAAAAGTTCTGCCAAATATATGATATAGTTTTCTATTTCTATAAGCTATATAAAATTATAGAATGGTCTACTTTAAAAAGTCATGAGGACATCCAAGACAGAATGAGTGAATGTACATTACCAGTAAGCTGTGTGTGCAACTGATTTGATTTTGATTTTTAAATAAATATATAAAAACTGAAGAAACTCCACTTGTTCTAAGGAACCATCAAACCTGCTACTACAGACCTCATTCTCTGGCCACAATGAAATAAAATTCAAAAATAATAAACACAGGGCAACAATGAAATTTAAATTGCCTTAAAATTTAAAATCTTCTCTAAAAGTCTTAGCTCAAAGAGAAAACAATACACAACTGGCACTATTTCAAAAATAACAATAATATCCCAACAAATCAAAGACTGCTAGATAAACCAAAATTTTACCAAAATTAAAATTGATAGTCTTGAACATGTATTATTACCTAGGAAAAAATAAATATAAGTAAATTAATAATTTAAATTAGTGAGGAAAAAATATAAAATGAGCACAAAGAAGCAAGATAAAGATAAAATCAGATTTTTATTCGGTGGGGGGTTTACTGGAGATTAAACCCAGGGCTGCTTAATTATTGAGCTACACCCCCAGGCCCTTTTATTTTTTATTTTGAGACAGGGTCTTGCTAAGTTGTGAACTTGCAGACTCCCCAGTTGCTAGGATTACAGGTGTATGCCACATGCCCAACTTCAGATATTAATTTTTAAACTAAAAATACAAGCACTAAAGATAGATTTATCTTTAAGAGCTAGTACTCTTTAAGAGCTAGTATCTAAGATACTAGTACTTTAAAAAGAAAGGAAGAGGGCTGGGGTTGTGGCTCTTTGTAGAGTGCTCGCCTAGCACGTGTGAGGGCCTGGGTTTGATCCTCAGCACCACATAAAAATAAATAAAGTAAAGGAATTGTGTCCAACTAAAAGTAAAAAAAATAAATATTTTTTAAAAAGGAGGAAAATATTCACTAAAAACAAAGAAAAAGGTCAAAATTACATATATACAAATATAAGAAAGGACCGTTACTATATATACCAAAAAATCAGAAGAATTTTAAGTGCATAGGGTTGTCCTAACACTACAATTATATAAAATCTAAATAAGATTCAGAATTTCCTAGGAGAATGCAGATGCAGTAGCATACCCTATAATCCCAGCAACTCAGAATTCTGGCTGAGACAGGAGGATCACAAGTTCAAGGTCAGCTTCAGCAACTTGGTGAGGCCATGAGCAATTTAGTGAGACCATGTCTCCAAATAAAAAATAAAAAGGGTTGGGATGTGGTTAAGCACTCCTGGCTTCAATCTCAAGCAATAATAATAATAACAATAATTTCTTAGGACAATACAAATTTCCAAAACTGATCAAAAAAGACAGAAGATTGCAAAAAACAATCTGTGGGCTGGGGATGTGGCTCAAGCGGTAGCGCGCCCGCCTGGCATGCGTGTGGCCCGGGTTCGATCCTCAGCACCACATACCAACAAAGATGTTGTGTCCGCGGAGAACTAAAAATAAATATTAAAAATTCTCTCTCTCTCTCTCT